TTCACATTCACATTGTAAAGTCTTTGTTTCATTCTTCTTCTTCCCTCTCCACACATGAAGAAAACGTGATGCAGACACCTGTCGTAGACTAGGTCAGGATGTTTCCTTCCCCCTGGTGTGGCTCCTGGTCATGTTTTTTATTTATTTGTTTTTGGATGATTGGTGGATTCCTTGGAGACCAACAAGGAAATATGCTTCTCATCACTCACAGCACACAATCATTCCAGGGATGTAAAGGACAGATTTGGTCTGGACTGAAGTGTGAAGTGGGTGGAAAATTAAACAAATATTAACCCTCACCCCCCATATTTAAAATCCTGATATAAATCCAACACAAACAAGAAGGTGCAATAAGCTGAAGTTACTTAAATCGGGAATTTGTACCTTTAACTAGTACTCGTCATAAACCAATTTATAATATTAACTGCCAGGGATGAAAAATTCAAATATTTGCAAAAAAAAAAAAGGGGGGGCTTTATGTCTTTTTAACACATAAAATATGTGTTTTATTTATGACAAATTTACATAGTTATATACATAGCTTCATGAGTGTGCACGTGTGGTTTGTCTTCTCAGCAGCAGTTTGGTTTTGTTGCTTCAGGCAGATGAGAGTCGCAGGAGGAAGACTATTGATGCCTGCTACAGGAGAACCTCCTTTGCTGTCTTGTCCTGTCTTTGTCAGACTTCTCTGAAAAACGGAGCCTGTGTCTCGTATGCTACAATATCAGCTAAAACAGTATTGATTTGAAAGCATTACGTGTTGTGTAAGCAGTGCAAATGAAATGAATCAAAAGACAAGCTCCATTATGTTTGTAAGATTTCTACAAGCTGTGATTCCAGTCAAGACGAGTTTATATTGACCGACTCTAAATGTCAATTGTTTTTTAAATGCAAATGAATATATTTAAGTCTGTTCTCTGTATGTTTGCATTTAATTCTACTTAATGAGGGACCTATAAATTTTCATTGTTTTGCTTCTTGGTACGTGAGGCTGGGGTTGACGGCCGAGCTGTTTGTCTGAGCAGGTGCACATTTACAGGCTGCAGAAATGAATAGTTTACCAATGTTCATTTGCCGAGTCCTGGACAAATCAATAGATCAGGTTAAACCGCATTATAATAATTACAAGAACAGATGTAGCACTCTTCAGCTGGCTGTGGGGGGGAACAGCTGAGTGTTTCATCACCACCAGAGCAAAGAGAGGAAACAATCAGCCTCGAGGCAAGATGTGATAAAGCAGCGAAGTGGTAATTAGAAACATGAAACTCACAGAAACCACCCAAAGGTCCAAAGGATCAATAGACTTCAGATGAGGCTGGTAAATCTGAGGCTCTGATTAAAAGCACATAAGGATGACTCCAATTTCATCTTTGCTCAGTTTGAGAGCAAATCATTGAGCTCGGCTCGAGTTTTACTGTTGCAGTGAGGGACAGAGTCTGCAGTAACAGAAACATCTGTCTCTTCCTAAACTTTACAAACAGTTTCAACACTGTGGAGCTCAACAATCCATCTGTTTGGTTGGTTCTGGTAAATCAGCTAAAGACAGTTGGGGAGCCCTATGTAACAGATATACTGTATTGCAGCCAAAGGGGAAACTGAAAAGTAGGGACTTAAAATAAAAAAATATATATATTGTGATCATGAATGTACATGAAATTAGAAAATAAAATAATTTTGTTTTACAACATAGAAATAAAACTAAACAATGGTTGTGTATGAGCTAACTCAACTAGAGAAATTGCATTTCCTGCGAAAATGCAGTGTGAATGCTTACTGCAGAAGATCTTGCTGAGAAACAGCTAAAATTTGCTAAAAAAAAACATGCTGAAATGTAACTGAAATGGAAGAACAAGCCTAAATTTGCAGAAGAAAGCAAACATATATTTGGTGAAATAGGTTTAAATAGGCAGAAATTAGCACAAAAATTAAGGAATTTGCTAAAAAAAAAAAACACAAAAAAAACTAAAATTAGCAAAAAAAAAAAAAAAAGGGCTGAAAAGTAGCTGAAAGGCAGAAGGAAGCTTAAATTACCAGAAGGAAGAAGAGAGAGATGAAATGAGCTAAAAAACAAACTGAAATTATCAGAAATAAGTTATTTAGGCTGCAGAAATTACAAAAAACCTTCAATTTATCTGAAAAGAGCTGAAATTTGCTAAAAAAAAAAAAAGCTACAAAAAAAGGAAGCTGAAAAGTTAGAAGCTTAAATCAGCAGAAGAAAACAGAAAGAACATGTTTGCCCAATTAGGCTGAAAGAAGCAGAAATGAGCGCAAAATTGTGAAAATTATCTAGCTGAAAATACTTTGTAGCTGAGATTAGTAAAAAAAAAAAAAAAACAGCTAAAAGTAGCTAAAAAAGCAGAAAGATGCTTAAATTACCAGAAGGAAGTGGAGAGAGCATATTTTTTGCTGAATTAAGCTGAAAAAGGTTGAAATGTGTGCAAAAAATATTGAATTAGCTGAAAAAGCTAAAATGAGCAAAAAACAGCTTAATAGTAGCTGAAATAGCAGAAAAGGCTGAAACTTGCAGAAATAAGCTGAATAGAGCATAACAGGTTGAAATAATCAGAAAGAAGTTAGAAAAAGCTAAAAAAAATGTTCTAGTTAGCATAAATGTGAAAGGAGCACAAAACAGCTAAAATAACAGCTGAAAGTAGCTGAAAGTAGCTGAAAATAGTTTAAATTTGCACAAGGAAGATGAAAGACGCTGGACCAGAACAAAATGTGAAAGGAGCAGAAAAAGTTTGTAAACACATCTAAAGATTAAGAAGAATGTAAAATGAGCTCCCTTCATTTTCTATGAGGAAAAAATGGCAGAAAGGCCATTCAAAGCCATTTCAAACAGCTAAAGTTGCCTCAACACCAAAAGTCATTGCAGGATTGTCCTGAAAGAGCTGAATGTTTTGAAATATGATTTGTTGAAACAGCTCCAAAATTGTGGAACGAGAAAGATGCTGAAAAACGTAGGTAAGAAAAATGGATCACAATAGTGTGAATGCTTCATAAACATTCACACAACAAGCAGCATGCGTCAACAATAACATGTCACCAGAAGATTTTAATCTGAAAGTCAAATGATCTTTTCAAGAGGATTATTGGAGCTGTTTCACCTCTTACATCTAGCTGATTTGGAACAAGCACTGAATCTGTTATGAGGCCATGATCCCTCAATGAAGGTCATGTGTTGGTCATTCGAGTCACATGCAAGTAAGTATAAATGAAGGCGAGTCCACCCGGGGAGGGATGGCAGGACTGCATATAAATCCTAATGATACTGCAGCTGATGTCACAGGCCACAACCACTTTTTGGTGATGATTGTTTTGAGATTAACACCTCTGTCTTTAACCGTCTGCTTTCACTTCAGAGTCCAAACTGTCCTGTGTGTTGGAGGAGCTGCCTCTTAAATCTGAGGGCCACACGCTCCATTCTGCTCATGTTTGGACCATGGACTATGGCTGGTTTATGTTTGGATAGATAGATAGATAGATAGATAGATAGATAGATAGATAGATAGATAGATAGATAGATAGATAGATAGATAGATAGATAGATAGATAGATAGATAGATAGATAGATAGATAGATAGATAGATAGATAGATAGATAGATAGATAGATAGATAGATAGATAGATAGATAGATAGATAGATAGATAGATAGATAGATAGATAGATAGATAGATAGATAGATAGATAGATAGATAGATAGAT